GTCCTTTCAAGCTAAGATATAGCAATCAATTGAAATCATTGAACAATGAGCGCTATTCGACAGAGACGGAACTTTCGAAATATGCTTGGGGTCTTAAATAGCAGAACAAGTCATTCCAAATAAAATGGTCGATCATGAAGCAAGTTCCAGCCGTTTGCCCAGGAATGAAAGTTTGTTCTCTGTGCACCGAGGAAAAAAGAATGATTATGTTATCGGACAAAAATAATACATTGAATATAAGATCTGATTTGTTTAGCAAATGTAGGTGTAGGCATATATAGGAGCAGTTATAAAGCTTCTAATTTCAAACGCGCGCGCGCAAGTAAACACAATCATTTAAATGCTTGCGTCAGCAATCTAAGAGCGTCAGCGTAAACCGTTGTAATTTATTACGAGATAATTTTAAAACATCAATCGCCTGATGATCGTACGCTGTACGTGAAACACTGTGTAGCGATGAAATAAAATTTTAAGTTTGAAATTTGTTGTTTTTGTCTTTGTATTTGCTCTACTGATTTATTGGTGTTGATCACTCTACAGGGTGTCCCAAAAAAAAGTGACACTATAGAAATTATCCTATTGTTATAATTTGAATGCCCTGGCATTAAGTTGATCCCTCTTGTGCATAAACTTCTGCTTCTGAAATTTAAAATAAAAAAGCAAACCGTTTATTAGTGTGATCGTTTTGCTTGACTCGGGCGTTAAAATATTTGGACAAAGCGAAAACGTTATAAAATGCTTAAATGTAAATACAAGTTCATTAAATTCCCAGGCGTGTAATCACGCGCGTTTAAGAGCGGCTTAAGATAATTTCTATAGTGTCACTTTTTTGGGGGACACCCTGTAGTTCGCTACGCACAAATTCAATATTGAATATTCTATAATCTATATATGTTCTATAATCTATATATATAATCTATATATTGAATATTCTATAATCTATATATATATATATATATATATATATATATATATATATATATATATATATATATATATATATATATATATATATATATATATATATATATTATAGAAGTATGTTTTATCGCATGTCTTATGGTAATTGTCAATTGTGTATAGCAAAAAGTGTTGTTTAATTTGCTTTTTTGAAGATGTTATAGGAGTTTATTTCATTAAATTTTGTTTCTAACGAATTCCATACATCAACTCCTTTATATCAGAGACTGTGTTTCACATAATTAATATAATTTGTCCTTTTATAACATTCGTGAAGTTTTGAAGCATTTCTCGTGTTATGACTTATGTTCATGAATTTTGTTGTTTGTCACAAAATATTTTTTAAAGAAATCTGGTAAATTATTAAGCTAGGGGTACCGAAACATAAATAAGGCAGTTAAATAGTCAATGATTTAAGATTATTCGTGGAACAGGCGATCACATCACAAGAGAGGCAAATCGATTTACCGAAGCCTGTAGTAGGCGGGTTGACAAACACATCTCATTTTTCTTTAATTATTGTTCGAATCGCATTCTTTTGATGATCGTTAAAAGTAGAAATACGAAATAATGGGCGACTTCACACAATACTTGATCATACCACAGAGGAAGTATATACAGAGAGTTCACTCAAGCCAAAACAAGTCACACGCACGATTGGCCATACTGCGCATGCGTAACTTCCCAGCCAGTACCGTGAAATTTTTTTATAAGGAAATAGATGGGGAAATCCGAATTTTTGTCATAAAAACAACGATTTTAACGAAACTATCCAGGTGACTTGCTGTTTCGTTTTAATTTCAAGAAAATGGGTTAGACTGGACATTTTTAACAACAAATGGGGCTGCAAACACTGTTATGAATATGTAATTAATTTATTCTAAAACGCGCGAAAATTATACTGGCAATAACAACACAAAATAATCGCGACAAAAATATCGCTTAAATTAATAATCTACGTTACACTCCCGGGGGTTGATTTCCATCAGGTGATCAAAAGTCCAACAAAATGTGAATGTAATTATGTTAAAATTAAAGAGTCCTTGCTCATATTACTTATAACTGTTCGTACGAATATTAATACTTATCTTAATCTAACTTCTCGTTCAAGTGTTTAACTCGTGTCCGCGCATCGAACCTCTAAAGGTATGAGATGCTGAATAGGTCTCTGTAATATAGTAGTTTTCCCATGTCCTGGGGCAGTAAGAACGGTAATCCTCGCTGCTCGAACTACTCCATCTTTGCCTTCAAGTACCTCGGTAATTTTAGCTAATTTCCAATAACAACGAGCCGTAGAATCGTCCTTTAAAATCACCACTTCGCCGACTGATATATCACTTGAATTTCTTCCGACACTTGAATTCTTTCTTGCACTTTCGCGTAATCCCAAAAGATACTCTCTACGCCATTGTCGGGTAAAGTTTTGCAGCAATCTGTAATGGTACCTTATTCTCCGCGTCAAGGTTTGGTATGTACTGGACACATTCGAATACCGTTGATTCGGTGTCGTTGCTATATGCCGTCCGTACACCAGGTCCGCCGGTGTAAGAGGATAAGATAGACCTTCGTCATCTGCGTACACATAGGTCATGGGCCTGTTATTTAAGGTGCACTCGATTTCAACCATTAACGTGCGTAATTCTTCAAAGTTCAACGAAGATCGTCCTACAGACTTCTTTAAGCATGACTTGACGCTTCGCACTAAACGCTCCCAATATCCACCCCACCATGGGGCTTTCTCAACGATAAAATCCCAAACTACTTGCTTGTTTGCCAGATCAGTCTTGACTTCGGCCGCTTGCATAATCTTCCTGATATTTACCGACGACGCTTTAAAGGTTTTTGCATTGTCTGATTGTAGCTTCGCTGGTAATCCACGACGGGCTGTGAACCGCCTAAACGCCTGTAGAAATGATAATGCACTCAAGTCTCTAGTAAGTTCTAGATGGATAGCACGCGTTGATGCACAAGTAAACAAGCAACAGTAACATTTGACATTAGTTTTCGAATCACACGTAACATAGAGTGGACCAGCGTAGTCCACTCCCGTGTTTGTAAACGGTGGACTGTCATCAACACGATTGGTGGGAAGATCGGGCATTGGTGGCGTGGGAAACGACTTCCCCTCGTGTCTTTTACATACAACACATCTTCTAGTAACTCGTTTTACGGCCTCTCTGCCTTTCAGTATCCAGTATTGTTGTCGAATGGAGTTCAATGTATCACGAATGCCTTGATGATGGATATCTTCATGTCGTTCACGAATTAAAAGTTCCGTAAATCTATGCCGTGACGGCAGTATAATAGGGTTCTTGCTAGATTCTGGAACGTCGGCGTTATGCAACCGTCCTTTGCAACAAATTAATCCATTGGTATCAAGCTGTAGTTCAAACTGGTGTAAGCAAGCCATACCGCCTTTCATTAATGCATTTTGTTCCGTTTTGAAAGAGCAGGCTTGCACAGACTTAATCCAATCAATTTCTGCCGTCCTCAATTCGTCCCCGGTTAAATGCTTTGTAGGAACATTCGCCTTTCGTTTCAGTAATTTCACGAATCTCATCACAATTGCAGTCAACTCGGAGTAAGTTGGTACTGTATCTTTCGATGTCGATAATATTTTCTAAGTTGGCAACACGAGATACATTCTTCGAAACACAAGGAAGTGAGCTGGTAACAACAGGTGGATGTTTTAGCAACTCCTTGTCCGCCAGCTCATTGGTATTTGTCGTTGCTGACTTTGGCCACGATTCGGGATTCTCCTTCAAAAATTCTGGGCCGTTCCACCATGATTTGTTGTTCACTAGTTCCTTTACGGCACACCCTCGCGATGGAATGTCAGCCGGGTTCAACTCTCCTGGACAAAATCTCCACTTCTCCTTCGCCGATAACCGTCTGATCTCGTTGACCCGATGTTGTACATACTGACGCCACGGTTTGTTGTTCTTAATCCAGCACAGAGTTGTGAATTATGAATCCACCCAATAATACACATCGAATTTGAATGCAAGGGACTCTACAGGGTGTATCAAAAAAAACTGAACAGATTTGAAATTGCTCTCAATTTCGCAAAACACCTATTTGTATCCGGTTTATATATATATAACTTCGTTGGGTACTTATAATGTAGAATAATGAAAAAAATTTCTCGAACTCAAATATTGTGAACCAGGGGGGTGTGTCTTTTCCAACAAACTAAAAATGGCTCGCGCACAAAATTTAAAAGCTGTAATAATATTTTGAGTTAATAGATGGAAAATTTGTTGGGTTTTTAATTACTGTACAAAATTTCAGACAATTTGGTTTAGTTTAAGCCCCTTAACTATTCACGCAAAGTTACATTTTCCCCTAAAAATCAGCTATTTGCATGCTTAATTAATGCATTTGCCTAATTTGCATATGTCAGCAATATGTAAATTAGGTAAAGGCATTAATTAAGCATGCGAAATGCTGACTTTTTAGAACAAAATGAATAGTTAAAGGGCTTAAACTAAACCAAATTGTCTGAAATTTTGTACAGTAATTAAAAACCCGACAAATTTTCCATCTATTAACTCAAAATATGATTACAACTTTTAAATTTTGTGCGCGAGCCATTTTTATTTTGTTGGAAGAGAGACACCCCCCTGGTTCATAAAATTTGAGTTCGAGAAATTTTTTTCATTATTCTACATTATAAGTACCCAAAGAAACTACATATATAAAAAACCGGATGCAAATAGGTGTTTTGCGAAATTGAGAGCAATTTCAAATCTGTTCAGGTTTTTTTGATACACCCTGTAGAACAGAACGAATAGAGAAAACCAACTTTGCCAACAGGTAAGCTCCCAAGAGTTCCAATCTAGGAATAGATTGTTTTTTCAGTGGTGCCACTCTTGTTTTAGACGCGATAAGACGCACATCGATTGTTCCGTTTGCATACTTGGACAACAAGTACACCACAGCTGCTACTGCTTTCTCTGATGCATCACTGAATCCATGGATATCATAACTGAGAAATTCTCCTGTACCTTCTGAATTGTTTTGGAAATAACATCGCGGAACACTTATCTCGGATAGTGCACTGACTTCGCCCACCAGGGAAGTCCACCTTTTCAACCATTTTTTCTCAAGGGCCTCGTCCCATTCAACCTTGCTGGAACACAGCTCCTGGAACCACATCTTTAGATTCACCGTTATTGGGCTGATCAGTCCGATAGGATCAAATATTTTCGCGGACGCTTTCAATATCGATCTTTTTGTAGGTGGCAATGACTTCAGATATTCTATAAGTTGTACAACATCAAAACTGAAACAGTCCCTTTCGGTATTCCAGTTAAGACCAAGAATTTTCACTTCTGATGATTTCTCTTGCAATTTCTCAGTTGCTCTAAGTTCAGGCGATGTGTCCGCTAATAGATTGATCTTCGACAGTTCACCTTCCGATGATTTGTGTTCTGACGTTTCTTGATTAACATTCTGTTGATTCGTGGCAACCGTATTCTCAAACTTATCAATTCGTTCCTTCAAAACTTTCGAATTAGTGCGCCATTTGCGCAGGTTGAATCCGCCTTCGCTCATAATACGTTTAGCTTTCTCGTAAACGCCAAAAGCTGCTTCTTCATGTGTAGCTCCTTCTGGGAAATCATCCACGTACAACGAATTAGCTAGGAGCTTCGAGACCTCAGGCTCGGAGGAGGCATACAATGATAAATGATGTTGAATTGTTCCATTGAGGATCGCAGGGCTAGAAGTCAAGCCAAAAACTAATCGACGGAAACGATGCTGGACCATTTTTGGGGTCTCATCTTCGATATTTTCCCACCAAAGAAATCTTAGCTTATCTCGGTCTGACGTACTCACGGATATTTGATGGAATGCCTTTTCCACGTCAGCAGTGAGGGCTACTGGATGGCTTCGAAATCTAATCAGAACATCGAAAAGATGCGGAGTTAAATTGGGCCCTGTCTCGAGACAGTTGTTGATAGAATATTCACTATCAGTGTCCTTCGCTGATCCATCAAATACGATGCGTAACTTCGTGGTGGCTTTGTCTGATCTCACAACTCCGTGATGAGGCAAGAAGTGAACATCTTTGTTATTCTCTTCGTCAGCTGGGACTCTTTCAATGATACCTGTCCTCTCCTGTTCCTTGAAAATATCGTCATACTGGTCTAATAGACCTTCCTTACTTAAACGGGAGTTCAGATAATGCAATCGAGATACACATAGTCCAAAATTAGAATTTTGCAAAGACTGTTCCTCCTTCCAGGGAAGATCAACTTGATATTTTCCTTCGGTGTTGTCAAATGCAATGTCCTTCAAGAATTCCTTTCTTTGGTGGTCAGATTCAGTGTAATCGACTATGCCAATGGACTCACTGTCCCAAAAACGTGCCAAACTATCAGTTAAATTGGATGGTTGCTCATAATTTAATATGGAATAGCTTGGTTGTTGGAGTATCAGGTTGGATGTTACATGGTTATCCCCATTCTTGGTATTTTATACTGGGCCCGAAACCAACCAACCAAACTTGCTGCTGACTGTTGCCAGTCCATTACTCTCTCGAATGACATGTCCGGTTATAACATCCCAATAGTAGTCCGATCCTATTAAAACATCAATGTCATCATTACTATTTGAAGCTGTGTTATAGTCGGCAAGATCCAGCTCTAAAGACGAAGGATAGCTTTCTAGGTTTATTGTTCCAGGTAGTGGCGAACATATGTTACCAAAACTCAGGGCTGCGATCTTTATATCTTGGCCATTTTTTCCTTGTAGCGTTAATTGGACCAAATCACAGTCTTTCTTCGAGAAACCGGCATCACCAAAGGTATTAAGATTTAATGATTCTTTCTTGATGGGTTTCAAACCAAGCTTTTGCTGTAGACCAGTTGTGACGTACGATCTTTGACTTCCAGTATCAATGAGCACTCTGACAGGTAAGACTTCTGAACCTTCATTGGAATATGCATATGTCCTTGCTGTCTGTAACAATACTCTCGTTTGACTTCTTGTCACAGATGTAGTGGTTGTACCATTTGACGATTCATTGACAACAGCTCCAGTCGTGGAAGCTTGCCCAGGTTTGTTCTCTGGTGGTTGACTCGATGGGTCCTGTGGTGGTCGACTCGAATTAAATTCACAGATTGGCTGATGATGCTTTCCTGGGCATTTGCGGCATCGTCTATTGGAGGTGCATTGGTTTATTCGATGACCCTTTCTCAAACATAAAAAGCAACGTCCTTGTCTCTTCAAAATATTCTTTCGGGCTTGTGGATCTTTAATCTTCTCACACGAGGCGGAAAAGTGTTCTGCATCACAAAACACACAACATATATTGCTCCCATTTTGATCTCCTGCGAAAAATGCACCCGTTGTGTGCATTCTCTGTCTTGGCTGAGTACTTGGATCCCTTATCTTCAGATTACTACTCATCTATCTTGCTTGCACTTCACTCTTCAATACATTCAATACTTCTTCGATTTGCCAAACATCTTTCGTTGTAACTCGAGCGATCTGAAGACGAACATCTGGTGGTAATTTAGACATAATGATGGGTATGAGAAAGCTCCCGTATTTATCAGATGTCACTCCCAAAGACTCCAGACCACGAACATTGACCCCAACCTTATCACATATCAGACGAAGCTCAGCAGGTTTGTTTCCTAAACATGTAGGCAGTTGCAAAAGTTCATCCATATGCATTGATATTATATGCTGTGTATTCCCGAAACGTTCTTCAAGAAGATTCAATGCAACATTATAATTTGCCTCAGTTAAAGGCAATCCTTGAATAACTCTAGCAGCTGGACCTTCCAAAAGTCCTTGCAAATAATTAAACTTATGGATTGGTGAAATGTTTGGGTTCTTATTAACTGAACTGTCAAAACGATCCCAAAATGTTCTAAATTTTGTAATTTCGCCATTAAATTTTTGTAGAACCAACTTTGGTAGCTTTGGGGTCACAGTAAAACTGGATGGGTATGATGGGGCCCCCTCTACTGGCTCTACAGAAATACTTGTGGGGTGTTCTTCAGTAGGTAAAGGCACATTCTGCTCGGAAATACTTTCTTGCTGTTCAACCATGTCCGTATTTTGTGTAGGGGGTGCATGTATATTGCCTGACAACGAGGGCTGTGACGTAAATGTGTTCAAACACTCAATCATACCTCTTATTTCTAAAATTCTCGCTCGTATTGCGTCAGCATCCTCTATTTCTTTCTCAATGTCTTCAACCTTACACAACGACAACATTTCATCGTCCATACCTCGTAATAATTTCTCTTTCTCCTCAAGTAAGTTGATAAAGTTGTCTAAAATCTTCAAACGTGAACGATTCAACGTGGTTATCTCGGGGTTTTCAACAATCGACTTCGCTTCTTGTATAAATTTTGTTGTAACTCCACGATGCCCCCTTCTTTTTGCCTTTAAACGATCAATATCTGTCTCACTCATGGTAACGAATACTTCAAAATTCAAACGACAATCAAATTCAAACGAAAACGATGTTTAAACGACGAAAATACGGCCCCACGTTGGGCGCCATGTTATGAATATGTAATTAATTTATTCTAAAACGCGCGAAAATTATACGGGCAATAACAACACAAAATAATCGCGACAAAAATATCGCTTAAACTAATAATCTACGTTACAGTCATTAATTCATCAAATGTAATTATTTTATAAAAAGGATAGTCAATCGCCATGCAATGCGGATAGACATATGCCTAAATTGGGGTATACGACATTTGTTTGTGGGGTTTACGGCATGCAGCTCAGACTTTTGTGCTATATCTGTCCAATATTGTAATGTTCTCGTCAAATGATGAAATGATTATCATGGGGTATACAGTATGATATTGCATGCTTATTCATATCTGATGACAATCTGAACAAAATAATTCCGCATGGTTATGCAATTTGCGTGGTGCCATGCCAACATCAAGTGAGACGCAAGTCAGTGGTTATATAAAGAGTAAACTGATTGACCTCTCAGTAGAAAAGCGTTAAGAGTCATAACAAAACCAAGGTAAGGCTAGGAATAATTTTTTTATAGAATTGTGCATTTTAATTAAGTACAAAACAATATTATGGTAGCTAAATTCGAAAACGATAAACATGTTGAAAAGTGTTTATTCGACTATAGATTATGATGAAGATTATATAATGAAGATTATGATGACCTGATGATGAAGATCACTTTCAAAATGTTTACCGTTATCAGACTTACTTTTGTATTCAATTAATCAATTTCTTATATATATTTATATTTGAAAGGAAGATATATATAAAATTAAAAGTTTAGAAATGGAGGAGGGGTATAGGAATAGAAATGGAGGAGGGGTATGTATTTATATAAGACGTCATATAAATTATGAAAATCGCCCTGATCTAGTTCCAACAGGCCTTGAAGCTGTCTGTGTGGAAATTAAACAGGCTAATAGTCAATCTTTTATAGTTTCAAGTATTTATAGACCACCATGTTCCGCTAGTGAAGTGTTTATAAAAATTGAGAGGCTAATCAAATCAATTGATGATGAAAATATAGAATTTTATATTTTGGGAGATTTGAATTGTAATATGCTAGAACCAACTTTGTCCACCACTAGAAAGCTTCAAGACGTTTTGGAATTATATCAGCTTACACAATTAATTAATAACCCTACGCGTATTACCCAGTCTAGCCAATCATTATTGGATGTAGTAATTGCGTCAATGCCTGAAAAAATAATTTTTTCAGGTGTAGTCCATCTCGGAATTAGTGATCACAGCCTCATTTATAGTATTCGGAAAATAAATACAAGAATAAAAACTGATTTACAAGGTTCTGTCGAGTATAGAAATTTTAAGAATTTCAATGTTTCAGGCTTTCTATATGACTTACAAAATATACCCTGGGAAGAAATAAGATTTAAAAGAAATGTAGATGAAATGTGGCGGTTATGGAAAACATTTTTTGTAGATGGGCTGGACAAACATGCCCCTGTGAGAGTAAAAAGATTAAGAAAAGGGGGCAATATTCCTTGGGTAAGCCGGGAAGTAAAGGAAAAATTATTTAAAAGAGATGCTCTTAAGCGTAAAGCAATAAAGACAAATAAAGAAGAAGCCTGGAGACTATATAAGTCATCTAGAAATGTTGCCAACACTGCTTTGCGCAGTGCTAAAAGAGATTATTATGCAAACAAATTCACAAATAATAAACAGAATCCTAAATATGCTTGGAGAACAATAAACGATATATTAGGTCGAAACAGAAAACAGACTACGATTAATGAAATTAAACTTCCAGGTAAAACTGTTACATCGACCGACGAATTAGTCGACATTTTTAATGATTATTTTAGTAATATTGGCCCAAAGCTTGCTGAGTCTATTCCAAATGACAATGACGTTAGTTTTCGAGATTTTATTACTCAACAAAAATCTAAGACAAAGAACAGTTTCTCATTTCGACCAGTGA